ATTATTCCAAAGTTTCTCTGATATAACAGTAATATCAGAGGCGGTATCTAGCTGCAGACGTGCATCATGACCATTCATCTGAAGGTCAAGATATTTCCGCATACATGGTGTTGTGACTTGACAGGTTGCGAGTAGACTCAATGATCTTTTTGGAGATTTAGGACCAACATTTTGTTGAGCTTTTGCTGGATTATGATATCTGGGTTTGCGTGGCTGACAAAAACCATTTTTATGACCGATGATCTTGCACTTGCTGCAACGATGATTTTTGTATGGGCAAGACTTTACAAAGTGCCACGCGCCACAATGCCAGCATGGTGATGGAGGGGTCTTCTTTGCAGTATTTTGTGAAGTTGGACGAGTATGTATAGATTTCCGCGGGACATTAGAAGAAGTAGGTGGGTCAGGAGTAGATGATGAGAGATTTTTGCTCTTTCGTAATGCACGAATATCAGAGCTTCTCGAAGGTGTTGATTCGACCAGGTGTGTGTCTTTCTGCAGATTAATCAGCCGTTGATATTCATCAGCTATGTCATGTAATGTTAACTTAGGATTTTGTTCTAGCTGATTGAGCAGTCGAGTTCGGATATCTGTGAAACGAGGAGATTGGAGACTGCATATGAGGATCAAGGCTTTGAATTGATCATCTGTTAAGGACCTGAGTCGAAATCTCTCACATTCTCGGTTGACTGTGCCAACGTGAGTAAGAAAATCATCATTTTCATTCATTGCCAGCTTGAGGCAACGATAACGTATACTGAATAATGAGGAGTGGTCTCCGAAATGTTCACGCAGCAACTTTATTGTATCATCGAAACAATTGTCACGTGGTTTCTGGGTAAAATTAGGTTGCAGTACCGTTCATATTCTGCCGGACCCAATTTACGTAGCAAAACTCGCACCTTCCAGGCATCGTCTTGTGAGGCGAGATCAACAGTGAATAAATCCTCATAACGTTGATACCATGTGTCAAAAGTGACATTAGCCTCTGGGTCATAATTGAACTGTGAAATGCTGTTCACAATTCCGTCGACAGATGGTAGCATGGTATGATTGGGATTGCTTGAAGGTGAAGCTGGACCAGTCTGTTGGTTGACGAACATTTCCATTAATTTCAATTGTTGTTCAAACAATAATTCCAATTTAATAGGATCCATAGTAAATTGTTATGTTGTTGCTGCTGTGCGGTTAATAGTAGTTTTGTCCCAAATTGTTATGTCTAGTTTCCCCGTCGCCAAATTGTTATGTACTCGTCGCTGAATTATTGTTATGGACTGGTCGAGAATCTAATAGTCCTGACGCGAGAAGGCGGAAATCAGAAGACCACTAGGTTTGCGATGATACTTCTATTGTCCAAACACAAGGAGACGAAAATAAATGGTCTCACACCAAAGTGGTAAGTAAGTAAAGCAGTTGTAAAGTAAAGTAGTTCACACAAATTGTTAATGCGAATATATATAAATAATTCAGACAAGCGTGGGAAAAATCACTAGACAGTCTTAACATGAATGGCTAATTATAATGGAGTGTCGATCCAATTATACATAGCGAATATAGCAGACATGCCAACAAACATATATGGATATATGTCACCAAGCAACGGACTGTCAACAAACACTCATATTATATATAATATAATATAAGGAGAATACACATTATTAAAAGAGACAAGTCCATACAAGTGAAGTGGTCACAGACTAACCGAGCAAACAGAAAGAGAGACCAACATAAACACACACACATAAATATATATGTGGATACATATCATAATGTGAGAGGGCTAAGAGGCAAAATAGCTGAACTTAGACACCTACAATCACAACTAAACTCCAAAATCATAATACTGACGGAAACCTGGCTAACCCCTACGGTGGCAGACAGCGAAGTCAGTATAAATGATATGGTCCTAGTCAGGCGAGATAGGGACCTGAAAGAAGGAGGTGGAGTCGCCATATACGTCGACAAACAGCTCAGATGTGTTCACGCGACGGACCCTCCCCTCACAGAGCTCCCTGACTCCATATGGTGCCACTTCACCGTTGGGTACTGCAAATATCTAGTGGGCAGCATTTATCGATCACCTTCATGTGGAGCAGACCACAACCAGGTACTGCTAAATACAATCTCAGCAACTAAAGACATGGGTTATGATCAAATTGTCATAGCTGGTGACTTCAATGCCCCATCTCTTAACTTGGTGTCGGGAAAAGCCCATGATAGATTTGATCGAAATCTGCTGCATACCATCAGGAAGGCTGGATTCACTGAAAATGTCAAGATGGATACTAGATGGGGCCCTGATGGGAAGTCTTCTAGACTGGATTACGTGCTCACTAGCGACCAGCTACTAGTGGAAAACGTTCAGATCACGACTCCCATAGGTAGTAGTGACCACGCGGTCATAGTATTCGACATAGTCCTCCGCGAGCGCTTACAGTGGGACAATACACAGCCCTATCTGTGTTACAACAAAGCCAACCACACCAAAATGCGAAGACTTCTGTCTGAAGCTAATTGGCCTCAAAAATGGACAGAGCTAGCAGTAGAAGAACACTGGAGAGTGGTAAAGGAAATCATTCACCAGGCGGTCTCAGACACTGTTCCTTTAGTCACACCGAAAGCTAGGAAGCAACGATCATGGCTAAAAGGGAGACACAACACCTTCTGCAGGCGAAGCGAAAAGCCTGGTTCGCGTGGCGACGATCGAAGAGTCAACCCGAATATGAAGTGTACCTTGAACTCAGGAATCGATGTAACATACGAGTCCGGAGCGATAGAAGGACATTTCAGGGAGACCTCGCCAATAAGCTTCTCGTGAACCCCAAAAGCCTCTACAGGTTTATGTCCGAAAGAAAACCGACCAACCAGGGAGCATGCAATCTAGTGGGTTCTGATGGGAAATCTCTTACTAGTCTTGAAATGGCAGAGACATTCAGCCTAGCCTTTCACAGGCAACTAAATAGTAACGAGGATATTACCCCACAGAACATCCAGATTACATCGCAAAACCAACACACGAAAACCTGCTGGGTACATTTCAAATTACCCCGGCTATGGTACTTGCAAAATTGGGAAGGTTAGCTTCGGGAAAGTCTTCAGGTTGTGATGACATCAGACCATCTGTCCTGAAGCAGTGTTCAGAAAGTCTCTGTCAACCCCTAAGTGATCTGTTCCAACACTCCCTTGATGTAGGGAAACTTCCATGTGAATGGAAACGTGCAATCCTATCCCCTATCTTCAAGGGTGGTGACCGGCAGAATGTGACCAGTTACAGACCAGTTGCTCTACTTCCAGTGGTATCGAAGATATTGGAAAGTCTCATTGACGACCACATGAGAAAATACTTCGACGGGACTAACCTTCTTCACGAAGCACAGCACGGTTTCAGGAGGGGAAGATCCTGCGTGACGAATCTTCTACTAGCCTGGAACGATTGGACACTATCCTGGGACAAAAAGGTACCAGCCCACGTGATCTTTCTCGACTTTGCGAAAGCATTCGACACAGTTCACCATGGTCTGCTCCTTCACAAAATAAGCAAGGCGGGAGTTTCTGAAGCACTTCTCGCATGGCTGACAGATTACTTAGGCGAGAGAGAATTCTGCACCAAAGTCAACCGCATCCGATCATCCTGGCACACCTCGGCATCAGGGGTTCCTCAGGGTTCTATCCTAGGGCCGTTGATGTTTTTGATTTTTATCAATGACCTGCCCCCCAACTAAACTGCTCTGCGCTTCTTTACGCTGACGACTTAAAGATTTAGAGAGCAATAAACTCATCGGAAGACTCAGATAGATTGCAGGCTGACCTGCAAACTCTGGGAAACTGGGCTCTGGCTAACGGAATGCCTTTCAATCTAAAGAAGTGCAAAGTAGTGCAACTTCATTCGGGCAGGTCACAGAGTGTAAATTACACCCTTGGTGGCCAGAACTTGAGTTGTGTTCGATCAGAGCGTGATCTAGGTCTTATTCTAACAGAAAAGCTAGACACCAGTAGAAATTACTCGAGGGACGTCGCCAAAGCCTACGCAACTTTACACTTTATGCACAGGCAGCTGGGAGCTCTCACTCCCGAACTGTTCTTAAGGCTATACAAGGCATATGTGAGGCCACACCTTGAGGTGCATAATATCATTGCACCTCCGCTACTCAAAAGGGATGCTAACATTCTAGAAAGTGTCCAGAGACGAGCGACAAAATGGGTGATCGGCCTCCGCAACAAATCATATGAGGAAAGACTAAAGAAATTAGGACTTTTCACACTTAGTTACCGTAGGCACAGGGGAGACCTCATCACCGTCTACAAGATCCTAAATGACCAGGCCCACCCAAATAAAAGCATTCTGCCGTTAAGTGACTATAGGCTTCCACGAGGTAACCCGCCAAGGATAGCACACCAGAGACCAAAGACTCGAGTGCGATCACATTTCTTTTCGCTTCGTGTTTGCCGTCTCTGGAACGCTTTACCGGCGGCCGTGACTACAGCGCCATCTCTGGAGATTTTTAAGCGGAAGCTAGACAATCATGCAGAAATGCAAGGTTTGTGTCTCAATGGCTTATCCTCATAAAATTTGAAACCACACTGTCAATGGATAAGCGTACAAACCAAATCCCCACGACCTATTCTGCCTTCTCTCACTCTATCTTTTCCTTAGGTCACCTTTATTATTCCACTTATTTCAACCCATATTATCTACACTACAACCTATTATTATTATTACTATTCTGCTTTTATGACTACACCGAATGACCAACGGGAGTTAGGTCAAACTCCATTCACGGCAGCAATACAGTCCTAACATACTGCATACTACAAACCACATCTCGACCAATCCCCGCACCACTCCTCCTGGAGTCTACCAGAGCTAAAGCAGTCGAGTGTCGGGACTTACTACGCAGAAGCTCACCGAAGATCTGGAACCTCTACCTCACAATCAAGAAGCGAGCTCAAAGAAATCACTGGTTTATACTAGCTCGTAATCAGGATATTGGATATTGGACATTAGGCATTCACCCCGCACAATTTGTCTTTTGTCGCTGTAGCGTGTTTATCCTCAATATAAATGACAGGTGAAAGTAATCCAAAACTTTATGTTCTTCTTGACCAAGCTTCACTTGAGTCAGTCAAAGCAGCAAGCGGGAAAGAGTTTCAACTGCTTAATCCTGACAGACACAAAGACCGAATTTTGAAGTCTGGAATAGATGTTTCCACAGTTCGTCCGGATATTGCTCATCAGTGTCTTCTTATGTTGCTTGACAGCCCTCTAAATCGGACCGGGAAATTACAGGTTAGTGTTCAATTTTGCAATAGTATTTCCATCATGAAAATACCTACTTGAGACGGTTTAATGATGCTTCATTTTACGCATATTTTGTGTATTCATATGAATAAACAAAATCGCAACATCTCGTGCGACTGTTCGCAGCTGATGCATCTAGCAAGACCAGTAAAATAACATCAAGCAGGATCAATATGCTTTTATGAAAAAGCATAGACTTTCACAAAAGAAAAGTTACGTAAAATTAAATAATTATGCGGGATGGTGATCCCTTGTGTATACTAGGAGTGATACTTCGTTTGTCATTGGGGTCCTTAGCATTCTTCCACGTACATGAAAACATAGGAGTGATTGTACATTTTGTCATTTCGTACCCTATATATCATTCGAATAATGTTTTTCGTTTGCACTCACTAACCTTTTTTTGAGATTACCCAACAGATTGACAGAATTAGAGAATTACTTTACAGTTGCAAGCATATCTAGACTACTATAAGTATCTATAACCACTCCATTTGTTCATGTGAATAGTTATGGATATCATAAAACGTTGGACGATCGGTAATAATACGCAAGCACTACGGACAGAGATTCGCTGCATAAATCCTTTCCGTAGTTGTATTATATAATCTTAATAACTGTGTTTGGTTTGTTCTAGGTCATTTGCCTTACCGTTCTCAGGTTGTAATACTTTAGTCCAGATGAAGAACTAATATTTGTACTTTATTTCTACATGAATCTTGACACGACGGACAGAAATTTTATTCTTTAGTGTCCAATAAGGACCAAATAGCTGTAGGACTTTTATGACTGTCGGTTAAGATTTGGATTAATCCAATCTGTTTCTAAATAACTGTGGATATTTAGAAGCCAAAAAATTAGAGCAAAGAATATTCTTTTCGATGAATTCTTCATTTGGCTGTGGGGTGATATTTGGAAGTCCAACGATTAACATGCTTAATAGTACTCCCTATGTAATTGGCTCCACAGGAACAGTCAAATTGATTACTACACATGAGAGAGGCAAAATTAGGTAGTATATATTTGACTCCCAAAAGTAACATAGAAGTAGTTGAAAAGAGACAATATACTTCAGCAACACTGAACTCTCTTTTTACTGTGTTTCTTAAGCGTTGTATTATTATTTCACTGGTGTTATCACCGAGGAACTAAAGATTTAAAAACAAATTCTTTCTTGGAACTGTTGGTACACTAGCTTGGTTTGGCTTCATATTCATATTCTTGTTAATGACTATCTGTGGTAACAATTTTCACTCCCTAATTGTTTCATAAGACATCCGTCAGAGCAGACTGCTCTTTGTTTCAAATTTCTTCTGTTTTCTGTATTTCGGAATTATGGATGTAATCATTTCAATATGATTTTTATAGTGGTTAACATTATAAATAATACTAAATGGTTTTTCGGCTTAACGTTCGTCGTATTCGCTGTCTTAATCGTTGGTTTAATGTGAAATATTTCAATATGGGTTTTGCAGGGTAGTTTATTTTTAGACCTTAAAATCTAATCACCTTAAGTTCTTTCTTGGAAATAAATTTCATTCCTCAGCTTTAAGGCCTGTCATATATATAATTGTCAGGTAAAAATGTACTAGCAAATTACAATTAATAAAACTTTTTTAGGTATTCATTAGAGAATTAATGAAACAAAAGTTGCATAATGGACGCATTCGTTTCAAATCCGAAAGAATAAAAGGAGACACATTCAGCTTGTAATAATGAGGCGAAAGCTGTATAGCTTTTTATTACCGCAATTTGTGTTCAGTTGTGTTGCTCTTATACTACCATTAATTATAACTGCCTCTTAACCTTAATACTGAAGTCTGTTATCCTACACTAAAGTGAAAAATTGAAGCGCTTACTGGTCCGAATCATATCCATTTAATCGCTTGATTATATCAAACAAAGTGCTACATAAACAACTGCTCAGTAAACACACGCAAATTTTTAGTGTAAGGGATGATGAAATTACCTGACTTCCTAAACCTTAGTCGTTGATGTTGGTGGTGGTCGTGATTGAAGATTAAAGTCATATAAGACTGATGCTCACACATCATCGATATATAAAATTGAGTTCAGAAGAGTCATATATGGTATTGAGGAATATCTGTGTACATTTTAATTGGAAGTTGTATTGTTGTTTGTCTGTTGGATTGCAATCAATAATCTATTTGGGTTCTTTAAAGTAACAGGTAGTTATGCAAGACCAACAATGGATTACCTCATGAAGTAGCAAAATATATTGATCTATGTGGAGGGATGTAAATTATACATAACGAGACTTTTGAGATTTAGCGATACAGAAAATCAAAACAAGTGATACAGCAAAGAAACTCCTTTCAAAGAATTTATTATCAACCTGTAAAATCGTATGTAAATAGTTTTTAAGAAATTATATCCAGTGAGGGATTTGATTCATAGGTGTGAGCACATAAAATAATAATAGTATGAGATGCAATTAAAATTAAAATATTTGTGAGTATAATTATAGTTAAAAGTCAAGTGGTAAAACAATCAATGTCATATGTAGAACAATTCATGTGATGTATCGAACTTGGAAGGGGTGTTAAATTATAAGATTAGTAGACAAACAGAACGTGTCATCTACAAGGCGAAAAGTAATTCGCCCAAACCGCCACGCATCCAACTCATGTGTATTGCTAAAACCATCTTTGGCTATCGAAATAGAAAAGTCAGATCTCTGTATGCAGAAAAAACTCGTTCAAACTCTCCAACTTTCATGGTCTTAATCCCTCTATGCTAAAGTGAGGTAATCCCTAATTATATTTTGCCTCAACCTATTTTATCGTTTTGTCTATTCAGTTTGTATACTCTGCCTTTATTACGTCAATTGTTACTATTAGTATTCTCACTTTGAACTGTCCGCGGTATTATTTCACTCCTTCCACTTGTCATCCTAAATCCCTTTGGTTTCGCATAGTTAAAATTCTATGTTATCAAATTGCACACAGTGTTACGTAACGTTTTTTTATTTTTATTCTTTTTGCCTACTAATTCTATAATTTCACACACCTTTCAAGCTGTATACATCCAAGAATTGTTCTGTATATAACATCAATAGTTTCGCCACTTGACATTTAACTGTGATTATAATCACAAACATTTTAACTTTCACACCTATGACTAAATTTCCTCACCAGATATAATTTCTTAATATAGAAACCCATATATATATATATATATATATATATATATATATATATATATATATATATGATTGTTCAGCCTGATAATAAATTCGTTGAAAAGAGTCTCTTCTCTGAATCACCACTTGTTTTGATTTTCTATATGTGCCAATGGGAATTTTCCATGAATTTAGTGATATAACTGAAAAATTTTTAACATTTCAACAAGTGTATCTGTTGTTTACAATAGATAATTGAAATAATTTCATTGCTATGAATTTCTTTAGACATATTTCTTCATTTCGTTCATTTGCTTTATCGTTTACCTGCTCTGAAGTGTGTAAAGGAATGTAATGGTCAAAACCGATATCTTCTTGCTGATTTGACGACCTTCTTTCGTTGTATTCCACAAAACTGTCTCGTTGTTGGTCAGCATAGATTTAAAGTCTTGTACAAGTTAAGACAAACTCGCTAATTTTTAAAAATCTTATTTCAAAAGTTTTGGAATTCAGTGATGATCATTTGTCTCAGTTACATTGTTGTGCTGTCATCTACCGCCTGGAGTAGACAACGAATTCCATAGTTGGTTGTTGTTCTAGCCCACACCATCTTATCCAAGTGGATTGTCGAATTTATTGTTTAAGTGCAGTCATAATTTGGAGAATAACCGTAAACTGTTAACTGAAATGATGCATTTTTGTCAGAAATTCTCGTCATTGGTGAATCAACTAAGTTCAAAAGCAATAGTGATGCCACGCCATTGCAGGTTCCACTTGGTTTAAGAAAGAGTTAACAAGCCAACCGCATCAATTAATCTGTCCAAGTTATCTTTAAAGGTGACAAACTAGCAGTTAAATGTAGCCTTTTTGAGCTGCCATTGTAGCACTGAAGCAATCAACTTGTATATATACCCTCTAAAGTTAGTAATTATTTCTACTTGTAACTGAACTGATTAAATATGTGCATTAAATTTTTTTACGAGAGAATAGTTACTGAAAAAGAATATTCTTTTCGATAACCCGCTCTACAGTTATATGTATCCATAATTGTGAATAAATTAGTTTTATTAACAACATTAATGTCTGAATAAAGTCGAACCAATAATAATATCAATGGATTACAGTTGAATAGCATCAACATAACAATACACACTGAATATCAAACAGACAAATTAGAAAAAGCAATAATATGAATTCATAAATTTATAGTCTCCACTGAAGGCCAACCAGGGCAGTAGTATTGGTTGGACTTGCTTCTTCTCTATACAGAGCATCGGTTGTTTAAGGCATATCACGATAGCCTCTGTTGTTTGGAGTATGCAGCACCTTGGTGTTTTTGGCAATTTGTTTGGTACCCTAAAGGTGATGGAGAAAAATTCTTCAGTGCTGTTTTGTGGATCAGGCGGTCTAATATCGAACTGTTGATGGTTTTTACTACACCTTTACTTAACCACGCTGGTAGATATTTCCGAGGTAGCACTAAAAATCAGGTTCCTAGAGCAGCGGCCAATATAACTCGCTACACCACAAGCGTAATTCAGTTGGCAGATACAATTAGAAGTGGCTAGCTAGTCTAGGTACTTCACCTTTCAATTGAGGAATCACAACCGGTCGTTTAGAAAATAAGACATATATTTTACCAGCATTAAAAGTCCTTTAAACTGATTTTCTTAACTAATTCGTAATCATTTCCCTCGGTATATCGCCCTTGGATTGTAGTCGTATGTATGAAGGCTTCTTGTTTACCGATAGAGAGTAGTCCTTTGCTGATGAGTTTGTCTGGATAGCTACTTTCAATCAAGGTGTCATACACACTTCTGAGCATACAGCTCGGAAGACCCTTTGGCTGAGGGTCCTTATTAAACTTTTTTGTACTGGAGAGGAATGAAGCTGTGAAAATGTGTAGATTGTCCTGTCCATGTACTTTTCCTACATGCAAATTTCTCTTTATACTACCATCCGGTTTCTTTTTAAGAAGAGCACCTAGGAAGGCAGTTTAATTCTATTTTGGGATTCCTTTTCACACGTGAATTTCATAGCCAGAACGTACTTGATTAATTTGAGTCAAGCAGTTGATAAATGTATCTTATCTGAGTAGTACTGTAACAACAGAAGACAAGGGCCAGACAACAGATCATTTATTACGGAAATCAGCACGTATATATATATATATATATATATATATATATTTCATGTACATTATTATAGCTTATTCAAGCAGACAAACACAGTCTTCTGATTGGTTGTTTCTTGCTCAAGGTTATTCTGTGCTGCTTGTGATTGGTTTCTCAGAAAGTTAAGCCATATATATCTGCGAATCGTATTTGCCCACGTTAAGTCTGCTGTGATTGGTTGTTGAATCAGTCTTGTTCATATTTTCTCACGGCCAATATTAGCGACATAGACATTGACGTAAATTAATGCCTACCGATTGGCTAGCAGCAGCCTGCTGTCACCACAGTACAGCTACTGCTCACTTATTTCTTCCCTATATTGATCAACGCATCCAAACTTGTTTGTTACTTATCTGGTCGCAAATTACTTTTAGGTATTTGACATCATGGTAAAAGTAGCGACATTGCCAGTGGGGGTTGCATATCATTTATTCAACCTTGTCCACCGCCCCCAGTTTCTTTCGAGATTAAAGTGCCCTTACTTCACTTTCTCTTTTTATTTCTAGGTATTCATTAGAACACGAAAAAATGTCATCATTGAAGTTAATCCTAAAACCCGCATACCGCGTACATTTGATCGATTCTGTGGACTTATGGTACAACTGTTACACAAACTATCAATACACGCTGAAGGCGGTAATCGTGAAAAACTTCTGAAGGTTGTAAAAAATCCTATTACACGACACTTTCCAATCGGTGCACCAATTATCGCTACATCATTTTCAGCTAAGGAGCAGATTAAACCACTACAACTAGCAGAAAGTACACAAAAATCTGGTCCTCAATCTGTTGTCATTATTATTGGAGCATTAGCTCACGGGTCAATTGTTGATACGTGTAAAGAATTTCTCCAGCGTACAGTCAGTATTAGTAATTTTCCTTTATCAGCTGCTCAAACCTGTTCACGAATATGTACTGCTTTTGAAGAGCTGTGGGGTGTTGAAGATATCTTGAGTGAAAAAACTACTACCCCAGTGGATGTTTGCACATAATTGATATCGAATGAATAAAAGCGCATTTTACAACACAACTAACTTATTACAGTAAATTTAAACGTCCTCTAACAATTCTTTTTTTTTGTTGTACATAAAACTGCAAAGGATTTTTTTAAACATAAATTTGAAATCTAATTATGTTTTCCTTCATTCAACTGACCAGTCTTCTTATAGAGAATTAAAGCAATTAGTCTCTTTGTAATAAATTTAGATAGTGTTGTTATTAGAAGACGAAGGGAGATTATCTGAAAAATATGATGTGGTGTGGTGTATTTGCTCAATACATCAATCAATTAGACAATTTGTTGATGTTTTAAAGCCCAGTACGCATACAATGAATTAGGTAAGTTTACTTTGAAGGATACATTTGAACTTTGGTTGGGAGATTTCATCATGAGCTGACGTCAGACAGAGAATCACTGGAAAACCTGGGATCACTGGATAGATGTTTCGTCCTAGTTTACAGACTCCTCATTGGAACACACCACACATCCAGGGTTTGGACCCACTAACTTCTCGTTACAAGGCGACCGCTAAGCCGTTGGGACCCGATTCATGACCTAGCGCGACCACTTCGCAATGCCTTCTTCGATGAGTTACTGCGTCGTCTCCAACCTGCTGTACCCTACTGGTCACGACTTCCCACTAGAACCCCAGGTTAACTGCCTGCATAGGATCAGTCGCTAGTGAGCATCAGATTAATTTTCAAGTATTGATTGTGTAGGGGTTTTTGTTTGATTGGTTTGAGAATTTCATCATGAACTGACATCAAAGTTAGAATTCATGGACTGACCATTGGATTGGGTCCCAGTGGCTTGATAGTGTCTATGAGTTAGCTCGCCTTGTAACCAGAAGGTCCTGGGTTCGAATCATGGCGGTTGGTGTGTACTGATAAAGAGTATTAAACTAGGATGAAAAAGCAGTGCAGTTCTCAAAGGTTTTCCAATGGTTCTCTAACTGAAATCCTCCGGCCAATCAAACAAAATTCTGTACAAAACCAATACCTGAACATATGAACTTGTCTTGTAGACATGAATATAAAAGATATGAAAATGTTTTCTTTTGATGTTAATTCTTTGTTTTCTAATGTACCATTGGTTAAGACTGTTGATATTCTTTTCATTCCCTTTTCGTTTAACTCACTTGAAAGTTTTACTACTATTACGTACTGACAACGTCCATTTCACATTTGTGAAGGTGAGCGCTTTCGACAAGTGGATGGTGTGGCTATGTGGAGTCCATTAGGACCTCAGTTAGTGGATGTTTACACGTCTTATTGTTGAAAACTTGTCCCTTGGTTTAATTTCTAAATTGCTCTTCTATAGGAGATATGTAGATGATATTATTTTGATATGTGATGATCATGAAGATGCTAGTCGTCTTTAGGATAGACTTAACTCTGTACCGAATCATATAAGTCTTGTATGCGAGAAAGAAAGTCGCAACAAGTTTGCATTTTTAGACATACTTCTGAGTCGAAGAGTGATGGTTCAATAAGACGATCAATTTACAGAAATATTTAATTGGTGTATGTGACTAACAGTGGAATCCAGGATGCGAATTTCGTCCTATTTGGTATCGTCAGTTGGATGTACCTGCATTTCTCATTGAGTGATGATGTTCCCACTGAGGCTCTAACCCAGTGCCCAAGTTTTAAACGTCCCAAATAGGACGAAATG